CCGCCGGGGGCAGCCGGCAGGGCGGCCAGCCCGGGGCGCAGAGGATGTACAAGCAATCCATGGCGCAGCGGGCCCGGACCATGGCCTTGTACAACCCCATCCCCGTGCGCCAGAACTGCCTCACCGTCAACCGCTCCCTCTTCCTGTTCAGCGAGGACAACGTGGTGAGGAAATACGCGAAAAAGATCACCGAATGGCCATATCCTTTGCCCCGGCCGGGCGCCCGCGCCGCTGACCTGCCCCGTGCCCCCTTCCCCCTCCCCTGCCGCCCCTCCATCCACCCACCCACCTCTCCATCCACCCCTCCATCCATCTCTCCATCCACCCCTCCACCCATCCCTCCACCCCTCCACCCATCCATCCACCCATCCCTCCATCCCTCCCTCCCTCCATCCTTCCATCCTTCCGTCCACCCTCCCATCCATCCATCCATCTCTCCATCCACCCCTCCACCCATCCCTCCGACCCTCCTTTCCCTCTTCCTTCCCTCTTCCAGCCCTGGAGAGAGACCCTGGGATTGATGAGAGTTGTGTGTGTGTGTGTGGGGGGGTCTTCTGGGGTTAAGCAAGAACCCCCCCACCTGGGAGTAGAGCAAAGTAGGGCTCCATCCTGGCAGTGCTGAGCCCTGGGGTACACTCGGCGGTGAGCTGGGGGCTTGGAGAAGGTGAGCAGTGCTGATGACACCCCAAGTGTGGTCAGGGTGGGTTCCGGAAGGGGATCGAGGCCTGAGGGTCGCGCAGGATCCTTGTGGGGGCTTCTGGAGTTTGGATCTTTGCGCCCCTGCTCCCCCAGCCTCCCACCCAGGCAGATCCCCCCTCCAGGAAAGCTTGGGGGCTCCCAGGGCCACTGTGATCCTTCTGGGGTGACATCCTGGAGGGGAGCCCCTGCCTGAGTTGGGGACCGCTGGAGTCCCGCTTGCAGGGTGCTCAGGGCCCTCTGCCGAGGGTTGGAGGTCCACTGATCAGACAGCTGGCCAGCTTTTGGGGGTGCCAGGACCCACGGGCCCAACCTGCCTTCCTGGGGCTCCTGGCCGTGGCAGTCCTATGTGGGTTATTGTCACAGAAAACCAGGGTGAAGCAGCCAGGCCTTGGGCCTGGCTTGTGTTTCAGGGGGGCCCAGTGGCGCCTAGAGAACCAATCTTGAGCAGATAAATGCTTTTTTTTTCTTTAATGAAAAACATGGAGGAAAATGGGTTAAAAAGCTAAACCCCAACATATGTTCCTCGGTGGCAATATTACCAGAATACACCCCCCCCTTTTCAGGCTTCTAGGTACCCACAGAGTAGAGAGCCCGGCTACTGGCACGAAGCGGGCTGGTGAGCGGCGCTTTCTTGTCATTATCTAAGCGTGACCCAGATTCCAAGTAGGGGGGCCACACCCTGCTCCCCAGGCCTCCTGTCCACCCTTCAGGGGGTCCCCATCTGGTGCTTCTCACCTGCACCCCAATGCCGCCCTCAGTATGGCAAAGATTGGGGTGGCATGCCCCCTCACCCCAAGGTATAGCCATGGACCCCCTGACCCTGGTGTGTGTGTGTGTGTGTGTGTGTGTGTGTTTGACTGGTGTGTACTCATTCACCAGGTCTGGGCCCTTTAAGATTTGGGGGTTGCTATTTAAAGATGCAGGTTGATTTATTTCTGGGGTGGCGGTGGTGGCTTGGGGCCGGCGTCTTCTTGGGAGGGGGATGAAGTTTTTGGACTGTGCACGATCTGTTTGAGCTGGAGGGGAATGAAGATATGGCCGGCCGAAGTGCTATTTTGGGGTGGCGTCCCTCTTCCTGCCCATGCTGGGTCCCTGGTTGCTCCTGGGGCGGGAGCTGAGTTTGTGCCGTTCAATGTTCCATCTTTTTGGCCAAGGTTGCTTGAAAACTGAAATCTCCATTCCCCCCCCCCCAAAAAAAGCTGGTAAAATGGAGTTCTGATCACTCTGCACATTTTTTGGGGGGGTTGAACAATTTCTGTTGGAGTTGGGGCTTTCTTGCCCGCGCCCCCCCCCCAGCCTGGCTTTGGGGCCTTTTAAGAGGAAGAGAAGGAGGTAGAGCCGTTCATGTCCTTACCTTACCCTGAGCAGGCTTGGTGCCTGCACAGCTGATTGCTGTTGGTGTGGGAAGGGGGTGACGGGGCCCCCACTCCCCGCTGTGGTGGGGAGGAAGGGGGGAGGAGAGGTTTGGGTACAGGAGCTTTTGTGTGACCAACTTGCCTAAGGAGAACATCCTTGTTCTGGGCAGACTTGGGCGATGAGTTTGTGCTTTTGTATTCCCCCACTCTCTCTCTCTCTCTCTGCAGAGTTTTATTCCTCTCCCCCCCCTCTCTCTCTCGCACCTCACCCCATCACCAATCTGTCAAAAAAACTCACCCAGCACAGAGATTTGATTTTTTTTCCTTCTGTTTTTGGGTCCAGGAGGCAGAGGCTCTGGTGAGGCTGGGTGAGTGGAGGCCAGTGCAGGGCCAAATGCCAGGGAGCCAGAATGCTGGTGTGTGTGTGTGTGTGTGTGTGTGTGTGTGTGTGTGTGTGTGTGTGTCCTGGGGTTTGAACTCAAGGCCTGGGTGCTGCCTGAGTTTTTTTCCCCTCAAGACTGGTGCTCTACCATTTGAGCCACAGCTCCATTTCTAACTTTTTTGTTGGGAGAGGTGGTTCATTTGAATTGAAAGTCTCACAGACCTTCCTGCCTGGAATGGCTTTGAACCATGATCCACACCCCCAAGATCTCAGCCACCTGAGCTACAGACATGAGCTACCAGTACTTAGCGTGTGCTCAGCTCTGTCTGGACCTGTAGCTAGGCTAAGAGATCAGTCATAAGCAGGTATTCCAGAAATTTTCTCTGCACATCTCTCCCCCGCCCAGTAGTCCAATCCCAGACAAAAGTGATGATTGTTCTGCTTCCTGCCCCCCTTCCCCCACCACCCCAGGCCACTGAACCCTTTGGAAAAAGTACACAGCCGGCCTGGCGCTGGACCTTTGTAAGTGACCAAAGGTGATGCCTTTGCGTCGGTTTGTAATACTGGATCACGCGACCCCCCGCAATTGATGGACTGATGCCCGTGGTGTGTATTTTCCTGTCTGGTTTTCCCATCTTTTTCATGGCTGCATAGTAGATCTTTTGGGAAAGAAAGGGTGCTGGCGAAAGGCTGCAGGTGGCGCGGACTGCAGCGGCCGCTTGCTGTGTGTGGCGCTGTGAACTTGGCCGTGATGGCGGAACTTCAGTCCAAATACAGACTCAGAGATGGTCTTGCCTGTGGCAGACGGGGCCTGGCTTTCTTTCTCAGCAGGGAGGAACATCTTATTCCTGAGCCCCTCAGGCTGAACCCCCCCATGAGAATTAATTTGTGTGTGTGTGTGTGTGTGCTGGCCTTGGGGCTTGAACTCAGGGCCTGGGCACTGAGTTTTCTATGCTCAAGTCGGGAGCTCACCTCGTTTGAGCCACAGCTCCTCTTCCAGCTTGTTTGATGGTTCATCGGAGATAAGAGTCTCATGGACTTAACTGCCCAGCCTGGCTTCCAACTGCGATCCTCCCCTCTCAGCCTCCTGAGTGGCTGGGATGACAGGCGTGAGCCGTGGTGTCTAGCTTTAGGGATCATCTTAAAGAAGAAAACCCAAATGGAAGCATGTGTTCACCTTTTTTGAGGCAATAGGAGTGTGCATGATCAATCCCAGCCTGTCCTGAACTATGGAATGTTCTAGAAGGTTCTAGAATAAGCGGGCAGAAGGACAACATGAGCTGTAGGATCTTTCTACGACATAAGCTTGGCTGGTATTTTCTAAAAGAACAACATTCGGAGAAATAAGAATCAGCCTGGCTTTTCCACTGGGATTTTTTTTTTTTTTTTTGGTCTCAAGTGGAGAACAATCTGTTACCCAGAATTTTGAAGTAAAAAAAAAAAAAGATGGGGGGGGAGGGGAGAAAAAGAAAAACCTATCAGAAAGCAAATTTACACAATTTTGTTTTGTGTTTGTGCCCGTGGGGGATAAGTCCCAGGGCCTCAGGCATGCTGCAGTGGGTGCTCTACCGCTGAGCTCTTGAGTAGCTGGGACTACAGGCGTGAGCTACGCCGCCCGTGGGACAGTTGGAAGTTCAGGTGATTCCGAGCCGTTTCTGTTTCCGATGTGTTACACTTCTGGAGGGCATCATAAGTCCAGGAGAATCTGTTCAGTGGCTGGTGGCCCATGGAGGAGGTGGTGATCGCGGGTAGCCTTGTCAAAATGGGCCCAGCAGACTTGAGATGAGAGCCATTGGTGCTTTTGCTTTTCTGATGAGGTGTTGCTTTTTACCCTTACTTTCTCCCTCCCTCCCTCCTTCCTTCCTTCCTTCCTTTCTTCCTTCCTTCCTTCCTCTCTCTCCCTCCCTCTCCTCTCTCTCTCTCTCTCTCTCTGAGATAGTGTCTTGTGATGTCACCCAAGGCTGGCCCCCGATTTGGGATCCTTCTACATCAGCCACCCATGCACTGGGATTATAAGTAGGCACCACCATGCCTGGCTATACTTTTGAGTTTTGAGGTTTGTTTGTTTGTTTATATGCAGGTGTAGCCACCCTCCAGATGGAAATATGGAACAACTCCCTCAACCCCAAAATATTTCCTGGCTTCCCATTGAGTCAGAACCCAGCCCCTTGTAACCCATGACCTGATTTCCCCCTATGTTCTGCCTTTTCCCAGGTGATATATGATCTATCTATCTATCAATCATATATATATATATATATACACACACATATACATATATATGTGTGTGTGTATAGAATCTTGCAATGTGAAGTTTGTGTCTTTCTGGTGGTGCATGGAGATAATGGTTTATCCTTTTTGATGGCTGTGTAGTATTTCACAGTACCAACGGACTCCTGTTTGTTTCCTTGGAGGCATTAGGGGCGTGTCCAGGGTGGATGATCATGATTGGAGCTGCCACAGCCCGATGCTGACGTTTGGGCACTGAGGAATCTCATTTCGTTTCTCTGTCTGAGTTAGGTTGTTGGTTGAGTGCAGGAAGAATGTCTACCTTTGTGTTCAGCATGGATCCACCCACAGCCTGTGTTTTGGGGGGTTTGGGTGCAGGAGGTGTGGATGTGGGTGGAGGACTTGGAGGAACAAAGATCTCTAGGATGGCTGGACTTTTTTTCTTTCTGAGAAAATCCTTTTCTTTTGGGGGCTCCTCCCAGAAGCGAGCGCATGGGCATGTTTTTCCCTGGCCCAAGGTGGTAGGGTGGACTT